GGATGTCAGATTGGCTTGAACCCCTCCCCGCCCCTCAGTCGCGCCCAGACCCCAGTTCCCCCTCCCGTCCCTGGCGCCTCCTACTGGGATCAGACTTGGAGAAGGTGTCGAGGTCCAGCAGATTCCTAGAGAAAGAGACAGACGGAAAGAGGGTGGGTCATATTGGAGCCCAGTGCCTGGACTCTGCCCCGGTTGGACTCTGCCCTCAGTTCGGAACCCCGGGGAGGCATGGGGCTCAAATCGCATCTCCCTCCCTCATTACTGGTGGGTGGGGACGTGAGGGGGAAGGGAGGCCCCCCCTTGTCAGCACCCTGGACAGCACCGGAAATATCACCTCAAGACCCGTGGTGTATGCATCCACACTGTCTTAAAGGGCCCAGGAAAGAGGGTCAGACCCAGAACTTTGTCCTCCTGAGGCCCAGATCCTACTGGATCCCCGTGACCCGTCCCTTGAACCCGGAGGCTGAACCCTCTTTTGCGGGTGGAGCTGTCTAAAGAAACCCCCTCCCCGAACCTGCCAGCGACTCCCCTAAGTCTGAATCAGATTTTCCGGCCCTGAAATCTTCTTTCCCCCGGGGTCTAGCTCTTGGCGCCGAGCCCCACAGCCGATTGGGGCAGGGATAGTGCCTACGCCCTCCCCAGCGTGGCCGCTCACCGGCAGGACACGGTAATTTCAATCTTGGTGGCCGGGACGCTGCGCTCAGAGGCTCCGCTGAGAGACATGGCTGGTCGAGTGGCTGGAACCGCGGGAAGCTGTAAGACAGGGGCCGCCGGGGCTAGGTGCGGCGGCAGCGGCGGGGCCGGCCCCTGTGCCGCCGCGGCGGCGGCGCGGCTGCACTCTTTCCAGCCCTGCTTGCACTCCCGCCTGTCGCGCCTTGACTGTGGCCGCCGGCGGCAGTGACTCCAGATGGCTACATAGCCCCGCCCGGCCTTGCGGGTGGCCCCCGCCCCATTGGAGCAGCCTCGAGCCTGCCGGGAACCTAACCCCGACCCCAAGTCCAGCTCATACCTTGGGAGTCCCTCCCAGCGCATTTCTCCCTGGCGAAACCCAAAAACCCTTTGAGAGCTGTCCGCGGTGCTGAATGGTTTGGGGCACCTGGTGGGCGTTGGGGACGTTTCCTCTTCCTGAACTGCTCCCTGAACAATCTGCTTCTCCCCCTTCCCACTTCCGCCCTGCTTTGGTCTCCGGATAGGAGGACGGTACATTTGTTCTTACTAGCTGTGTGACCTTGGGCAAGTTACTCAACGTCTCTGTGGCCCAGTCTCATTACAATAGTACCTACTTGGTGTGATGTAAAATTTTGAGATAATCCTTAGCTCAGGGGATTGTACACAGTAAGTATTCAAAATATGTTCACTGCTATTATTTCCCTCCTCTGGGCAGTCACACTGATGACCTCTTTTGTGTGAAGAGACAGAGCTCAGTAAATGGCTGTTAGAGCCCTATGAAAAGCCCTTTGCCCATGTCTTTGAACCCTGACTTCATGGTATTAGAGATGCAGACATACTGTGGGGATGCAATCTACTGTATCTAGGTCACACTGCAGATGAGAGTGGTAGTCAGCCAGGTCCATTCTCCCCACATCAATTACTGTCTCCAAAGCCCCAGAAGCCAGTCCCTCCACCAGTCAGGGCTCCGTAAGGCAGGGGCTGCTAGTCACCTGTACCAGGACTGTGCTGCCTGCAGAACTTGTTAAAAATGAAAGATCCTCCACCCCTACCCATTCCTAGCTAATTGAAGGTCTCAGCAACCCTGTCTAAATTCCTCTAGTACTTGGGGAATCTGTGTGAATAGGCTTCCTACATGACTAGGGTCCATTGATGTCTGAGAATCACTGCTCCCACTTTAACCACCTGTGACTACATGTCCTCATCTCACTGAGATTTTCATGGGTCAGGAGTTAAGAGGCACAACCCTGTCTTCAGTTGTCTTTCTGCTTTACCTGCCCCCCACCCCAATCCCTTCCTGCACAAGGAAGAACAGTAAGAACCTTCCAAATAACCCTACAAAGACAGCAATCAAATGAGAATGCAAGAGAGCAGTTGTTCAAAAAGATTTTATTTTGTGATCTGTGTCAAACTGCCTCATTCTCAGTGCAGGTGATCCCCTCCTCTCCAGGAAACAAGAATGGGAAGAGGGAAGTCTTTCATGAGGTCTCAGCCTTCACAAGGCCCCAGGGAACTTCCCCACAGTTCTGAGAGTTGATGGGAATCCCAACAAAGACTAGGGTGGGTGAAAGGCAGTGACAAGAGGGGTGGTGATCACCAGTGAGGAAGCTGGGGGTTGGAGAACCCTGTCCTTGGCCCTGCTTGGCTTTGGGGCTGCCATGTGTATGATGGAGAAGGAGTGAGAAGATTTCCCCCTATCTTGAAGCACCCCTTGTCCGGGCATGGCTTTGATTCTGCTCAGGGCTCAGGTGAGAGGAGCAGGAAATTGTTGTGGGCTGGTTACTTCATAAGGTGCTGCTGCTGGTGCCCCGGAGTCCAACGCCACGGACAAACTGCTCCAGCAGGCCTCCGATGGCACCAGAGGGACTGGGGGCTGCTGCTCGAAGCCCCACTGTGCTGCTGTATGTGGCCAAGAAAGCTGAGCGTACTTCCTGCAGCCGAGTCTCCCGCTCACTGAGGGCTGCAAGCCTATGAGGACGGACGGAAGGAGGGAGAATGAGTGCGTTACCCTGGGGCAGAGTCCAACATCCTCATGATTATACCACACCACCTATCCTTCTGCATGTGAAAGTTCAAGGCCAGCATCTGTCCTGTGGCCATACTACCTCTGGGGTTCAGGCCACAAATATTTGGCCTTGTTCCCCTCAGCTGTCAGGCTACTGTTCCTGCCTAGAAGCTGCATGTTTTATTGGTGCACTGGGGAGGAGGGGAAGGTAAGCAGGAGGGAGTTAGCCCCAACTGTTGGCTCCCGTTCCTCAGTAAGAGTAATGTGAGGCACACATCATAGACCTAAGGAGAGACCACAAGATGAGGCACCAGGCCTTGGCTGACCAACGGCCTCAGCTTTCTTGAGGCCAGGACCTGGAGCATCCTGGGAGAGAGCTCTTGGCAGTGTTCTGGAGAGGCCCTCAACTGAAAGCCCCTGAGGCTCTACCTACATCTTCAGTCACTGTGATCCCCAGGCAAACTGCTAGGAGGGTGCTGGCTTTTCTGGCAGGATTCCTGTTCTGCTTCCATCTGCTTTTCTTTCAGTGTCCTCTACAAACACTGATCATAGGTGGAAGACAGGAAGCCTCTCCTCTCTCCCTGCCCTGTAACTATAAGTCAAGAAGGGGAACAAGTTTAAAAAAAAAAAAAAAAAAAGAAAGGGAACAAGTACATGAAAACTCAGGCCTATCAAAGAATGAAGCTACTTGACACTTTGAAAGGTCTCTAATAGAAGAGAGTACCAGCCACACCCAACCTATGGATTAAAAGGTATGCAGTCTAGGGGTGGGAGGGACATGGAATCAGAGGAAAGGTCAGGAACTCACGTGGTGTTCACTGTAACTGTCCCCTGGAGGGCTTTTTCCAGGGGTCAGACTTCTATGACATGAGCCCTTATGTTCCCATCCACCTAAAAATCACAACTAGCCCTGACCACTAACTTATACCAAAATTTCCCCTAAGAGACCAATCCCTGCATAATCCCTCCCAGGAATTTGTCAGAAGCAGCAGCAATGTCTCCAATTCTCAAGCCCAAATGACTTGCACCCTGGGGCCTGGGGGAAACAGATGGGAGGTATGAAGATAATTGACAGTCCTAGGGTAGGTATGGGGAGAAGAGACCTAGGGAAAGTACACTGGTGGGAGTGGTATATATGAGTGGGTGAGTGAGTGTGAGAGAGAGACAGAGAAAGGAGCAGCAGGTTCTAGGGTGAAGGAAAGTGAAGTAGCTCTTGCAGCAGCACTAAGAAAATGGAGCTGATACTGTATTCCTGCAATACCGTGAACAACTCCCAAGTTTCTCTCGGCACCTGGGGGAGATGTGTGGCCCTAGATCTCCTTTACTCTTTAATTAGGTGTCCTATAGGCTGGAGGCCATGTGTTCTTCAGCTTTTCTTTACAGCATATAACCGGGAGAGATTCAGATTAGTCTGTATTCACATGGAATATCCAAAGGTCTATATGTGTGCATTCTTACTGCCCCTTATTTCTAGGAGGCAGAAGGGGGAGAGATCAGCCTGTTTAGAGATAAGAAAACTGGAGCCCAGAGAGAACATGTGATCTACTTGAGGATACACAGCAGGCAATAGGTAGGCAGGCAGAGACACTCTAGTGCCAGTCCCTCTCAAGAGATGAACTAGCAGACTCAGAGAAGTCAGGGCTGACACCCAATGACATAGCTGGTAAGCAGAGCAGCTAGGAGTTGGACTAAATTCTCTGATAACAAAGCCCAAGCACTAAATCCACATACTGTGTGACTTCACCAGGAATCAACCCTGACCCCACCTCTACACTGCAATTTTGGAAGCCAAGAGATAACTCAGAACCTAGCCTTCCCCTGGGAACCACCCAGACCCTGAGGGTTGGCTAGGACATCAGAGAGCTACCCAAGGTATAAATTGTAGGATCTGGGGCTGGAACTCTCATCTGTTCCAAATCACTGTTTCAGTGGTTAATGCCAGTTAAGTGAGGGGTGCTAACAAGCAGGGGCAGAGATGTCTGCTTCTTCTAGGGAGGGCTCTTGGGCCAATTCCATCCTAGAATCCTAAGATCCAGTCTCTGCCCGCCTTCAGCAGGGATTGATCCTTCGTAACTGCCCAGGGCAACTCGCCTCCGGCCAGTCAGCACTAGTGGGTATGAGCAGGATTCTGGTGGTGATGATGAATCCCCAGCACCTGAAGTTCATTCAGCGCATCGCGGGGAGGGGCAGGCCCTGCTTCCCAGGCCACCAGGGGCTCTCCTCTGCCGGACCCATGAAGCAGTAGAGCAGGCAGGGGGCAGCCACTCAGGCAGATACACTGTAAGAGTTGGAAGCCCAGTACTAGAGGCTTAAAGGAAGAGGATTTTACAGGCTTGGGATTTAGTATCCCCGTCCAATTCTCTTTCCTGACCAGAGGCAAAAACAGAAGACAAAAGGGGGGAAGGGAATGGCAAGAAACTCTTGATTCTGCTTGGAGGAGCACAGCCCTCGCGCTAACCTAACTCCATTCTGGCTCTGGTCTCCACCATACACCTACTCTCACTACCCCACTGTTCTGATTTCAAAGGATTCGCATGTCAGGCAAAGCCTTGGACAGAAATAGAACCTTCTATAGTTACAGTCCAGCCAGCTTTCCCTCAGGGTGTGCCCTGAGACACCCATGGATGAGTTTTGGAAGCTGGGGCATATGAACGCACTCTGTAGCACACTTCCTGCGCAGCCCATAAGGCCTCTTTCATACCTCAGGAGTCCAGGAGCAGTGAGGTGTACTTAGCTGAGCCACTGGGGAGGGGCAGGGATCCCAGGCCAGCTCCCTGGGGCCAGCTGCTGCCTCACTCCTAACCAACACTCTTGACTGCTCACCAGCTTCTGACATGGGCAGGGGAGCATCCTGCCTTCTCAAGCAAGACACTTACAGACAACTGTTAGGGAGCTCATCCGGGAAGCTGAAAGGGAGAGAGGAGTCTGTGTGCAGGACAGCCCGTTCCTGAATACTGCCACAGCCTGTTACCATCTGCCAGCTGCCAAAGTCTGTGGAGAGAGAGGATCCGGGCAGGGGATGGTCCACTGATCTGGGGCAGAGAGGAGA